AAAGCAAGACACAAGTGATCTATTCATTCCACCATCATTCACTGTACATTTGTGCACAAAGCCCTTTCATACAAAACCTTTTCGCCATGCCCAAATATTGACACCAAGACCTAACATTAACTATACCAACCACGAGCACCCGGCCCAGAATGTGTAGTCTCTCTCCGATGACTTATCATGGGCTCCGTAATGTCGAACACATCTATAATCTGACGCCAAATCCCTTCATCCATGGATATTACTGCTTGGTGCTTTGACGCCCCATGACGTTGGGTTCCGTCATCTTCTGGCTCCCGTTCAACAGGTTCTAGTTTGAGGGCGTTCGTATCAGCCGCACGTCACTACTTGGACGACATGTTCATAGACGTACCTAATGCAGGAAGGTCGAACTCGTCAAAATCGACCTTGACGCGCCCATCTCTAATGAGAAAGCTAACATAGAATATATTTTCAACCGTCTGTCCAAAAGACTTTGGGTTGACAACAAAGCGCATCAAATCTATTCCTCCAGTGCTGCGAAGCCCGTGCTGGTGCATAATTCTTGTTTGTTCATCCGCTTCCATGTCATCGTCGATCAAATCTTCAACAACTTTTTGTGTCTCAACCTGAACTTTACGCAGTCGTTGTAAAATCTTGCCGCATATCGCCGTCAAATCATTCTCCCTCTTTGCTAATTCCTCAACGTTGAGCACCTCGGGCCGCGTCTCTGTCAAGTTATTAGGTCGAAAGGGAGCAGTCCGCTTAGCAATCTTGCGGGCTTTCTTCTCAACAGACATTGGTCCTAATAGGAATCCTGGAAGGGCGGGTCGTCGAATATGTGGCAAGCAAGCAAAATGGCCAAGATGTGGCCAGTTCATCATGTCGCCCTCATCTCCTATTTCGTCGTCGTCGTCGTCATCATCATCATCACCATGCCCCCTGCGCCGTGATACGGTTCTGCGTTGCCGCTGCGTGCTCGATAGCTCTGGCGCATTGTCATCGGCGATCCCACTACCCTGTCGCATATATGTGATGGCCTTGGAAACAAGTTCATCCACATCTATACCTTGCGAAAGGCTGCCCTGGGTGAGACGCAAGGTTTTTCGATAAGACAGATCAGTGGTGCTCACGAGCAGGCGTGAATCGATTGTGGCTTCGGTGGTCTGTTTCAACTGTTTGGAGAGTTCATTGGCTTTCAAAATGGTCTCGTGCAAGCCCCGTGAGTCGCCTTTCAAGAATTCCTCCGAGTTTTCAGAAATTCCCTTTAGAAGATCTCTCAGCCCTTGTTGCACAACCCGGCGTTCTTGAAGGGGCTGGTCAGGATCATAAACATCTTCGAAGTCGCTTTCGCCTTGGCCACTGTCCTCATCGGTCCCTGCGTCCAGAGTTCTCCGACGGGTACTGAGCGGTTCTGATGTGACGGTATTTGTTCGCTTCCTTTTAGTTCCAGACACACTCCGCCTGTCAAGCTTCTGCCGGACCGCTAGGCCACGCCTCGTGGAAGTTGGTGTTTGCGAAGGGGATGGTGATGCCCTCTGAGAATGGTTGTCCTTGGACCGTCCACCGACGCGTATTGGCATCGCAGAGGCGGATCGCTGCTAAAAAGAAGCAGTGTTGCTTATTGTTATTTGAAACTTTGAGTTACTCGATTTCGTAGGGTCCGTACAAGCTCCCACACTCGATTGTTTCGACGTCGTTTGGTCCTGTCAGAAGCAGTAAATTTGCACAGATGAGACTGTGTGCATCGGCTGACGCGTTGGGGAGACGCGCTTGAAGGTTTCTGCCAATTAACGACCACGCGGAAGGTGCCCCTCCATTGTCCACATGCAGACGGTACAGGTACCTGGGTTTGGGTCCCAGGCCACACGCAGGTTGCTACTAGCCTGAGTGCGGATCTCTCCCATCCTCTCTGTGCTGCAATTATTTTGATCATAGTATTGGTATATTTGATGAGATTACTTTCTGGTCAACAGCCCGTCTACCTGATCTACCTACTTAAGTACCTAGGTGTAGGTAGTTACCTTACCAAGCACTCCGTAGCCTTGCGTCTATTGACAGCGCAATACTCGCTTGCTTGTATACCTACTTCAGTACTTACTCCGTACTTTGCAAGCAATTACAGTGCTACAGCATAATATTTATCCAGCTGTACTATGAGCTGGCAATGCCCAGCAGGTCCCAATACCATTACAACATGGCTCATAGGATATTCTGAACTTCGCTCGCCTCGCTGATTTCAGTGGTATCGATGTACTGTCCCAAGTCAAATATAGCCAAGCTTTCTTGGCTCCAGCTGAATTGTGCCCAGAGGGCTGCATTGATATGCCTTGCGCTCAGACAGAGCTGCATGTGCCTTGGCCACTCAGCATCGCGTATCACATCAAAACAATCATTCGCTTTGTTTCATCACGCGCAAACAGAGCACGAAACGCAGATCGACCCGTCTCAGAAGACTATCAATCGCGATTCAAACCGCCAAAATTTTCGGGACAGAGACGCCTCGGGTACTATTTTAATTAAGGTTATTTTTTCCTTCTTTTTTCAAGCTTTTTGACCTATCCAAGTGATGGTGCAAGCACTGTATCAAGTAAGGCTCTACTAGTGACACCAACATAGTGTGCCTGGTCGTACTCCGTATACAAGCCAGAGAACCGCAACAAACCACGTAATACGCCATGAACGCATCGTGATGCGTCAGAAGCTAGCAAGATTGGTGAGCATATCTCACAACATTCTGCAGCCACATTTGTATTTGCATTTCCTCTACCAGCTCCTATGCTGGCGGAGACTAACATGTAAGCGCATCGAGGCAACGTTGGATCAATTCTCACTTTGAGCACCGGGTAGCCTGTCATGAATGCCCAGGTAGAGTAAGGCGCCTACAGTGGAGGCACATCACACACAAGAAGCAGTTGAGCTGATAGCCCCTACATGATCAAGTGACAACGCTCCAAATATGGAACTGGAACTAGACTGAAGAGGCTGCCATGTTGGCTGCAACAAAGAGCAAACGTCGATTGGACGGGCATTTTCATCAGTCGCATGGCTGCGCAAAGCGGAACTTCTGGCGCATCCAGAAGAGCAAAGAATCGAGCCAGGGGGGCGCAACACATGTAGGCGCCTTCGCCATCGCGTGGTCTGGCACCGCATCCATCTTGTGGGAAATGCGGCACGAGGACAGCGTGAAACTCAGATTTGGAATAGCATGACGGCGATTTCTCTGAACAAGCGGCTGCCGTCAATACCGCCTTGATGGTGACCCCCAAACTACATCATAGATTCTCCCCGGCTAGGGCAGCACCGTGTGAGGCATGGAGCACTTGAGCTGATGTGCCCACATCCAGCTTCCATGTCCAGCAGCAAGGGACAATGAAGCCTGCCAAGTCCTCGCGGGCGTTGCTCACATAGCCTCATTTAGCTGCAAGACACTTCACTGGGGGCTCCACTGTGGAAGCAGTGGGCCTTGTCGTTCTAGGGTGCGGGAACAAACGATTCGCTTCAATGTTGCATTTGAACCTTCCTTTAACCCTGGATGCTTGGATTGCAGTCTTGCCCGCGGATTGCGTATTGCGTATTGCGGACAATGCGGAGTACGCAGAGTGCCGTGGCACGGAAAGAGCAGCACAAGCCCCTTTCAGGAATACATATACACAACTTAGACATTCTGCCATGACAACTCATGCACTGTGTTGTTTGAGACGTGCCAACCACCGTCATGCAGAGGCCTCAAATGCGAGGCAGTACGCGTTAGAGGGAATGGTGGCACTATGAAGTTGCCTCTGGCTGCCCGCCACTTTTGGCTGCTGGCACACTCAGGCCGATCTTCACTACCGCAACCCACCAACCTCTCGTGATAGCGGTTGGAGGCTCCATTTAGCTCCGCGGTACCTCACTAAGGCATCGGAAGACATGCAAGGGTGGCATCTGTTGAGTTTGGGCCGCCAGCGTTCTCGAGGTTCTCAACGCCCCTCCTCGGCGTTCCTCCACAGCATGTGGCTGTGATTTGGCTACGATAACGATATTACCCCGCCGAGGAGTGTGGACTGGGTTGGTCGATGACATGCAACCAGCTAACGCCTTCGAGAAACGGACTGGCAAACGTCTCCAAGCCGATTGTTTCTTCGGGCAAAGCAAACCACCCGTACCGAGCCTCCAGCGAGAGCTAATAGGCCCAAGGACAGCCTGGCCCGAAATGACCCGTTTTGTCCATGCCCAGCGTCGTTCAAAAATGGCGCTGGGTTGTTTGCTTATTCGGGGCCTGGCCTCAGCCATGGAAACCCTCGTCATGTCGCCAAGCGAGAGGCGACCTACAATGTATGTACCTTCTCCAGCTTGAGCCCTTGTCAAGAACCGATGTCCTTCCACATTTCTGGACGCAGCTGTCCGGGGTTGTGGTATAATAAGGTACCATGAGCCTCGCCCTACCACGACTTCCGAGTGATGTCCTTTCTTGTTATCCCCTCATCTTGTTCTCGTAGCCCCATATTAGGTATCCACGTCATTCCTTCCTTCCGGACCTGACGACTACGTGATAGAATCTGGGTTGAACCAGACGTCTTGCTCGAGGCTCTCCCCAAATCCCCCAGACTTGGACAAACGCTGTAGACGCTGGTTGGACACACTCACGTGCGGTGCTCGTGATAAGTCGCACAAGGGAATCATTTTTCTGATCCTGCTTGGTGGCCGTTACCTACACCGTGAGTTCGATCGTGGGAAGGTCGAAACTACCTACTCAGAGGTACCTGATTCCGGTCGAAACGCCCCGGGATCGCCATTCACCTGGTCTAGCTGGTCTTTGTATCACTGGCCAATAACTTAGACTGTACAACACTTCTTCACCAACCAACAAGGCTTCTGGTGTTTGATCGCCCAACTGCGTTGTATACAACAATTACGTTCCGACTGTCAGCTCATTAATAAGAGGGCGCGCTTCCTGGATATACGTTGGAGAGTAACCGGACTCATGTCGGGATCATTCATACCTTGCCCTTTCTAACAGTCCTCAACCCCATCTGCTCGTCATGACAGGACCGCCTACAAGTCCGCGTTACAGCGCTGAGGACTTTGAGACTGCCTCTGTTCGTTCGGCTGCCCCTTCTTATGGTAAGAGAGTCTCTAGCCAGCTTCGTACGCGTTCTGAGGCTTAACAATTCGCAATACAGTATCGGATACGCCATCTTACCACACCCTCCCGTACAATCACAATGAAACAATTCCGCCCTATAGCCCACCAGCTCCAAGGGCAGCCCCTTTGGCAGCAAGTGCTTCTGCTCCTTTATTCGCCCCTGGCCGTCACAGAACTTCGTCGACTCGGCAGCAGACCATAGGCCTGCCTCCTCTACCCCCAGTGGCACCGCAAGGTGCCATGTCAATCCATAACTTTCACCTCCCGACCTGGTCCGCCAACAATGGCCCGGCGGCTCGCCACTACCGGAATGTAGCTGAGCGCCGAATTACGTCCGGTCGATACACGGGACCGGCAGAGCCATTGAGACACCAAAACTCCAATGATAGAGCCTTGAATAACGGGACGGACACCGCTCCAGAGGCACGCCCCTTGGAAGATCCGTACCTTGTCGGCGAGGTAGCGGCAGCACAGGCCCGTCGTGAAAGACTGGCCCGTGAAGCTAGTGATGACATTCTTGTCCGAGAGGATAGGCAGTGGGACTGGCTTCTTGGTGAGCAATAGGTCTATTTGCGTCCTTGATTGTGCGAGAGTATTCCCGCTAACAACCGATTACAGCCCAAATGAGGAGCTGGGACGAGCGCGAGAGAAACTGGGCTCGTTTCCGCCGCGAGGTCGAACACACTCAACGTAAAAAGCTGCTTCGTCGTATTGGTGGTCGGCTGCTGCCAACTTAGAATATGAAAAATATTGGTACCGGCGCTTGATGCTTTCTCGTGGTTCACTCTTCCCCCAAAACTCCACTGGTTGGAGCATGTTCCACTCCTTTGTCCTGGCATATTTTTCTTTTCTTTTCACAAATCCATGATGCATCTGGCGGCGTTTTTTCTTGTAGATTGGTACCATTTAGTTTTGCGCGCATCTTTTTTCTCCTGGGCTGCATTCATCATTGGGGACAAGCAATTCCTCACTCACACGAACATTTGACGGAGGGTAACTGGCATTTTATGAATTAGTGAATTCAACTTCTCTTACGCTGCTGATTAACCACACAACTGATGTTTGCGTAGTATGTGACCTGTGAAAAGAACAGCTGTACCAACACATACTTTTAGGAAATGATACTCTGATAAATCGCAAAGCAATCAACTAGCATGTGCCTGATCTACCTGCAATGATAAATGTACACGTTCCAATAAACGCCATGCCCCATGCAAGTAATAAGACATTCCTCCCGCTGTCCTCCAACGTGCTTTCGCTCACCTCGGGTACCTTGAGTTGGTGTGTACAATACACTAGACAAGATGTGGATTGTTTTGGCTTGTAGATTCAAGCAAAGGAAAAAGAAGCAGTTCAATCAGCCCTTGCTTCGTGAGTTAAGCAAGAGGGCGACAATGAGGCTGTTGCAACGTCCGTTAGTCCAGAGCCACGTAAACACATGACCACTCCGCCAAATCACTCACCCGTAAAGACCGAGGACCTCCCCGAAAATCAGAATCAGAACCATGCCAACAAAGATTCTCGACTGCTCCATGTAGGCGCGGACGCCTTTGTCGCCGACAATTCCGATACAATAGCCCGCGGCTAGGCCAGTCATGCCGACTGCCAGGCCGCAAGCGAAATGCATAAAGCCCCTAGCAACCACATGTTAGACGCGAACTCTTGGTCAGCGCCCGGGGGTGTTTTACGTACGAGAACAGGGCATATCGTTCGTTTGCAGACGGAGGCGCGAGGTCCTGGGCGATGAGGACCGATATGACGAGCGAGTAGACGGCGATGATGCCGGACATGACGACGGGGATCAGACACTGTGAGAAAGTGTGACTTAATATACTTGGATCGTTTCACAGGGGACGGGAGGAGATATAGGTTCGGCAGCCGGCTGGGGGAAACGAACCTTCATTATGAGATCGGGGCGAAATGTTCCCACGCCGGCAATGCCAATGCCGGACTTTGCTGTGCCGTACGCGGCACCGATAGCTATACACGTCCCGTGTTAGAATTTCAAATAACGCTCGGAGGGCTGTTGCGGTTCCCGCGTCCGTCTTACATCCGAAGACCATGGCGGCTGCGATGCCGGCCTACATTGGCGCATTAGCATCCGAGTTCGTGAGCGGGAGGGCGATGCGTGTCTGATGGACAGACTTACCATCCCAATGAAGGGGGCAAACTTGGGAGCGAGCTCAGACTCCATGATGGGCGGGATGGAAATGGGGGCGTTGGGCGTTGGAGGAGCGGTTGTTCCGAGATTGAACTGGGCGTGGAGGAGCTCTGCGCTCTGATGAAGCCCGTTGTGAATGGCACGCCAGGCACACGTTCCTGGCTAGGCAGCTCTCAGGAGCTGGTAGGCCAATGAACGATGAACGATGGGCGGGGCGTGACCGCGCACGTGATGCCGTTCATCTGGCAGCGGGTGATGGACCGTTGACGTTGCTCTGTGTGGCATGGAGAGAAGGTCAATTCAGACGTAAGTTTTGGTCAGATTTGTCGTATTGTGACATTGTGATGTTTGAAGTATGATATAATGAGAGACAGCGCTCTTTTTTTCTTTTCTTTTTTAAATTTGGATGCGAAGAGGCATCTGGAACAGGCTTATGATACAAAAGTAGAGAGGAGTCCAGGGACAGGCGCCAGGGACCAAGGTGTCAAAATTTATTCCAGGATCGGACGAAGCATTTCGTTCCCGGGATCGACCAGGGCGCATTTACTCTGAGGGTATTGCTCCGTACAGACCGGGAGTAGAAAGTTGGGACATTTTGACAGCGCTACCTCCTGCAATGTGCTCACCCCTGCCGCGATGCAGCCAATACCTGCGCATGGGCCGAGATGAAAAGAGATAGCCTGCACTTGGGGTGGCAGTTGCACCCAGCATTAAGCTGTTTGTGGTCTGATGTGGACGAGTTTACGGTGCATTTTGGCATCATCACCCTGTCTGATAGAAACTCGAAGACCAGTATGAAGGGCACCTGGACTCCGTAAAAGTTGACGTGTAATCTGCACTGCCTGGTTAATTAGTAAATGTACTTAAGTCTGGTAGGTTTCGACGGCGTTGGTTGCCGCATGTGCCTTTTCAGTTCCGCTTACAATTCCACACCCTCGGTAGGAAAAAGAAAAGGGTTTTGAGAGTACTATCTATATTGGAGTGTGAGCACCTCAGATACTCTTCCCGTTGAAATTTAATCTCCTCGTCATTGAGCCTTTAGAGTTGAATGTGCAACATGTGTTGCTGGCTCTTGACAAACCCAGCCCTGGGCATAGAGGCTCGATAGTCGGAGAGAAGAGCAGGCACAGCGCAAATCAGCCAAGAGACAAACTCAAAAGGGTGCACGTGGGATCTGTAGATTCGACAGCGTCTTGCTCGGAAATCCTTGGGATGCGTACATCTAGCAGCTGTGGATGCTCGGCAATGGGCTATTCGTGTGGCGGCGGCGCCATTTGGGGGGCAAAGGTGAGATACATATTGCCAGCGGATGGTGGTTTGTTTGTTGCAATCTGGTCGTACTTGATTACTTTCTCATTTTTTCATGGGCACATGCTGCTCCGTAGTCTGTAAATCCCTGGATTGGACATGATTCCGTCACGGCAGGTGTCTTTGGGCTGACGTTTTACTCGCTCTGTTTGCAGTTGTACGGCCCATGACATACCGGGCAGCACCGCAACAGGAGCATATATGTATGATTGAACGAAGGCGAATTCATCTTGGCTCCCTCCTCCCCCCATCAAACCGACATGGAGCTTCGAGACCAGCTTGGGCGCTCCGAACTCCGAGTTGCCCTGCGCCTCGTCCCCAATGCGAATTTGATTTGGGCTGGCTCCCGAGCATCCAGATTTGAGAGGAGGAGGAGGAAAAGTCGTCGTCGCATGTATAATTCCAAGGTTGATGCAACGGTCGATACAACGCCCGGCGCAGTAACAATACTCCTGCAATATGGACTGTATCCCCCAGACCTCGTCGTGGACGTTGCCCCGTCGAGGACCGGCGAGCTCACATTGGCCAATTTGCACACCTTGATACCCGCTTCTCCGAGACACAGCTTCGTTCGTGGGCTGCGAGTAAGAGTAGCATTGAGAATTGACCTGATGGCTCTGTCTCGCTGGACCGCGCCAAGACAAGGGGACGAGGGACCCGTCGATTGGATGCAGAGTTCAATGTCGCTGGCTCACCTTTTGGCAGTCCAGTCTCGTGCAAATTCCACAATCCGCAATCCACAATCCACAGTCCTCAGTCCTCAGTGCTCCACATGTGCACCCTCCACCCTCCACCAAATCCACAGTCGCAGGTCCCAAACAGCCAGCCAAAGGCGAGGCCTTTCAGAACCCACACAGACTCAACATTGAAGGCCCATTGACGGCCCAGTCCCATGGTTGCATGTGTGCGGTGCCCTCGAGGCCACCCTTCGTCCACCAAGCCGCGCCCAGCCAGCCAGCCAGCCAGCACAGAGAGCACAGAGGACACAGCCAACAGCCATTGACCCCGACACAGCCAGCCGACGTGAGCAGCCCTGTCAGCCCAAACCAGACCCAAGCAGCAGCGTTTGGCCCAGCACCGTCCCGTCAATCTTCGAGCTGCTCCGACTTGATCGCTGCTGATTGTCGCCGCTTCGCTAGTGCTGCTCCTCCGGCTTGCTCCTCCGGCCCTGGTCCAACGTCGACCTGTTTCCACTCGGCCTGCTCAAGTGGTCGACGACATCGAAACGAGGGCCAGCGAGGCTACACTCCACGACGACAATCTCTTCTCCGTTGCTGCTGCTGCCGCCGCTCACTTCACCGCGCCACCTCCCGCCGGTACGCTCTGGGCTCGCTCTGGGCTCGCTCAACGCATTACTCAACTTACTCTTGTGCGTGGACCGCGGCATATCACGCCCTATCCCGTGTGAGCACCACTTCACTTGAGCCCTCGACGAGTGCACACCGGCCTCGTGGCTCGCGTTCTCCCTCGTGCGCATCCTCGACATATCCCACGAAGCCCTCGCGTCCTGCCTGCCAACGTCGACAGCGGCATCAGAACTCGTGCTTCTCGTCTCCTTGGGATCCCCGCTTGACTGACCTTGGCGGCCTGGGCATCAGCTGCGCTTGGTGATTTTGTTTCTCCTTTCCACAGCTGGCCGCTTCTGAAGGCTACTTCCAGTCAGTTTGCACCCAATTCCTCACGCTTAGATCCAACCGCACAAACACTCCTGTGTAGTCCACCATTCACCCCTGTGGGCGACTGCTCCTTGCCCTGGCTGCCCTTTTGCCCACGGTATATTGACGTCTGTACTGATAGAGATCCTTCTCTGGGGTAACTCCCTTGAGCAGAGTTACATCATGGCCGAATACCACCCGTATGATCCTCGAGCTCAGCAACGGCCGCCGCCCCCTCGCGGTTACCCCGATTCCAACAATTACCAACGAGATGCCGCATACTCCAATATCTTTGGTGCTGCTCCTCCCCCGGGACGATCACAGACAATGACGTCGTCATCTCCCGGCCCCCCCATGGACCCGGAGAGAACGCAGACCATGTCTTCTACGGCTTCTGGCATGCAACGTCAACCGCCGCCGAGACCACAGCAAGGTTACTACGGCGAGCGAGAACCCATGCAACGAAGACCTGTACCAAGTGACCCAAATGCTGGAGGCGGCTACTATCCGGGGTCGAGAGCGGCTTCGGGGGGGCACCCGCCGCCCCCATCACAGTCACAATACGCTCAGCAACACCAGCCGAGACGACCATATCAGGGCCCCGGCGGCCCTCTCCCTCCTCGGATGGAGTCGCGAGGTCCGCCGCCGCAGGCTGCAGGCGCGCGATATGGCCCTCAGAGCGGATATCAAGGGCCCCCACGGCCTGCAATGAATAGCGACCCTTATCGCTCACAGTCTCTAGCATCTGTTCCCCGGCCGCAAATGTATCAGCCGCCTCCGAGTTCATACCAGCAATCGCCGGCAAATCAATTTCGTCAAGCTGCCTACTCTAATCACAATTCAGCCAGGACAACAGCACAGGGCCGGGTTGTCCCCGAACGCCATCATGACGACCGTTCCATGTCAATGACCGGCTCTTATCACCCCATGGATCGAGATTCTCACCAAACAATGAGCGGCCGCATCATTCCAAACCGGAGGGCGCCAAGTGACGTGTCAATGTCCAATGGGTATGCCCCCAACGGAGGCTACCATACTGCCCCGGGATCCCAGACACGAACCACCAGTATGGCCTCGTCTGTTGGCTTCCCAGAACACGCCAGGACTATGTCTATGGCTTCTACCGCAGCCTCTACAATTACACCTTCCGAATCCGACACCATGACGCTCGTAAGCCGACCCTCTAGAAGCAAGTCCGTCGAGAGTGATCGACCAACCACCGCCACAAAGATTCGTCCTCCGCTTGTTTATCCGGCACTGCTCTCAAGAGTCGCCGAGTGCTTCCGACGAAAAATCATTACTGGGGACCGCACCAAGAATGAACTGACGTACAAGAATGCCTTCAGCGGTTCAGAGGCGGTGGACGTGTTATCATATATCATCCGCACCACCGATCGTAACTTGGCCCTCCTGCTTGGTCGTGCCCTGGATGCTCAAAAATTCTTCCACGATGTAACATACGAGCACAGGCTGCGAGACTCGCAGTCCGAAATGTATCAGTTCAAAGAAACCCTTATGGAGGAGCCCGAGGAAAAGCCCCCTGTTAATGGTGTCTTTGTGCTGCTGACCGAATGCTACTCTCCCACCTGCACAAGAGATCAGCTTTGCTACTCGATTGCTTGTCCACGACGGTTAGAACAGGTTTCTAGGCTGAACCTGAACGCGAGCTCCGGCCTCCGAAAAAATGATGCTGCAGTGATCAACGACGACGAGGTCGACCAAACCGACGAGCAGAAGCTTTGGATCAATACCGTGCCGAAAGAAGTTGCCGATGCAGTCGGTGAACGCGAAAAGAAAAGACAAGAAGTCATATCCGAAATTTGCTATACTGAAAGAGACTTTGTCAAGGATCTTGAGTATCTTCGCGATTTCTGGATTATACCTCTGCGATCGAAGGCCTCGCCCATCCCGTTACAGCGCCGAGATAAGGTTGTCAAGACCATCTTCAGCAATATCATTGACCATCCGAGTATCCATACCGTCAGCTCTCGATTTGCCTCGTCCCTCACAAACCGACAGCAGAAGAACCCCATTGTGCATAATATTGGTGACATCTTCCTCGACTACGTACCACAATTCGACCCATTTATTTACTACGGTTCCAAGCAGTTAGAAGGAAAGTTTGATTTTGAGAATGAACGATCCGTAAATCCATTTTTCGCCAAGTTTGTGGACGAAATTGAGCGACGGAAGGAGTCAAGAAAGCTGGAACTCAATGGTTATCTTACCAAGCCGACCACCCGTCTCGCTCGATACCCATTGCTCCTGGAGAATGTGTTGAAATACACGGAGGAAGGCAATCCTGATAAGGATGATATTCCCAAAGTTTTAACCATGATTCGAGACATTTTGGGCAGAGTCAATGCCGAGTCTGGAAAGGCAGAGAATAGATTCAACTTGCGAAGACTTCAGGAACAGCTTAAATTCCGGCCTCAGGAACGAGTTGACCTCAGACTTACCGAAGACGGACGAGAGATGGTGTTTAAGAGTCAATTCAAGAAATCGCCCACTGATCCTGCCGAGATAACTGCATTCCTCTTCGACCACGCTGTCCTTTTGGCCCGCATCAAGCAAAATGGCAAGACCGAGGAACTCAAAGCCTATCGACGCCCTATCCCGCTGGAACTGTTGGCCATCCGGGAAATGGATGAGGTTATACCCGGTCAAGGAATGAAGCGTTCATCGTCTGGTCTGATTCCATCGATCAGAGCAAACAATGCCGAAACGAGGAAGGGCGAAGGCTGGCCGATTACATTCCGTCATTTAGGCAAGGCAGGCTACGAGCTGACCCTCTATGCTTCAAACCAGGCAGCGCGGAAGAAGTGGTTGGAATTCATTGCCAATGCCCAGCAGCGACTTCGTGCTCGTGCCGACTTTTTCAACACGACGGTCATTTCGAGCAATTTCTTTGTGGGCACGAACCATGTCAACTGTGTTATGCCGTTCGGTATGTCAATGAATGCTGTGTTGTTGATAAGATTTTGACCTGTGACATGAAACTGACGATCAATTTTTTGCAGATGGCGGTCGCAAGCTTCTTTATGGTACAGACAACGGCGTCTATCTATCAGACCGTAAGAACAAGGCACAGATCCCAAGAAGAGTGTTGGAAACCCCCAACGTAACTCAGATCGACATCTTGGAAGAATACCAACTCCTGTTGGTGTTATCCAACAAGACATTGCAGTCATACGCGCTTTCCGCGCTGAACCCCGATGAGCCTGCCATGAGCAAGCGACCGAAGAAGATCCAGAACCACTGCAGCTTCTTCAAGACGGGTATCTGCCTGGGTCGACATCTCGTCTGCTGTGTCAAATCATCCGCATTGTCAACAACTATCAAGGTCTTTGAGCCCAATGACGCTATGACCAAGGGTAAAAAGCAGAAGGGCCTTGGCAAATTCATAGCCGGTGGCCATGACGAACTTCGACCATTCAAGGAGTTTTACATTCCCACAGAGTCGTCGTCAGTTCACTTCCTCAAGTCGAAGCTATGCGTTGCATGTGCGCGAGGCTTCGAGGTTGTATCCCTCGAGACTCTGGAGACGCAATCACTTCTGGATCAGGCAGATACTTCTCTTGATTTTGTTGCACGCAAAGAGAATGCCAAGCCGATTCATATTGAGCGTCTCAATGGAGAATTCTTGCTGAACTACTCTGAATTCTCGTTTTTTGTTAACCGCAATGGTTGGCGAGCAAGACCCGAGTGGCGGATTGACTGGGAGGGATCGCCCCTAAGCTTTGCACTCAGCTACCCCTGGATCCTTGCGTTTGAACCCAACTTTATCGAATTACGCAATATTGAAAACGGTGCAGTGCATATTGTGCCCCACAAGAACATTCGTATGCTTCACAGCAGTACTCATGAGGTGAGGACGACATTTCGCGTATTTCCATTGGTATAACGCTAACATGCTATTCAGATTTTATTTGCATACGAAGATGAGCGGGGAGAGGACGTTGTCGAAGCCATTGATTTTTGGAAGAATGACCGAAAATCCCAAATCTTGAGCGGCCCTTCGTCTTCTCCCCCGCATCTAAGCAGTTCTTGATATTTCAAACGAGATACGGTATTCTTTGCACTCCGACACCGACGACTTATAGAGTAGAATCACCGCCCCTTTTGAAAAGAGACAATCGACGCCTTCTTGTATCACTTGCAGTTTGGGAGAGCCGACTCTTTAATTTTATCGCATCCACATCTCTTCTCGCCCGCGTCGGCCTCTTTTTCTTTTCTTTTCATTATTGGACCGAGAGCACGACGACGAACCTGCAGTCTTACGTTGTTTACTTTGGTGGCTTGTTTTCATTCTTCCGGCCAGCTTCTTGCTGGGCAAGGAGCTGGGCACCGGCGCAAAGTGCTGTGAGACAAAAGTGGAACTGTGACTATGCCACTGTGCAGGTATTGTTGTTATCTTTTTGTGTTTTTTTATTTCCTACACATACGCATACATAGCAGCGAGGAGTTTGTTTCCAAACGGACATCGCTCTATTTATTGTTCAAGGCAGAAGGTCCACGGGGGTGTTGCGTACCTTGTCCATAGTTTTGGCAGGAGACGATGGAGACACGCAGGGGAGAGGGTGGAGGTTTAGATCTCAAGGGCTATACCAGGTAGACGAGTTGAAGGGGGCGAAGCGCCAGGCAGGGGGAGTGAGAAGACTTACGGCTGGGTTAGTTTTGTACATTGGAAGGGCAAATTAAGCGACTGCGCGTGACTTGCGAGGCAAACTCGGCATTTTTCGATTGAGCGGTTTTTAAGTTTCAAGGAGGGGGAACCTAATAGGAAAGAAGATTTATATAATTTGCGCGTGAATTCCGGAAGCATTGTCACGAGAGTCGGCTCGGAATGCGAAAGCAACATGTGTGCCCTTGTCGTCAAGTATCTGTCTGCATACAACACACGCAACCAACACAAACCAAAGCCGACCATGAATGATGCCGGTAACATGACAGCCTTACTATGGCCTTCGTCCCCCGAACCCTCCAGACGTACGAATCTCCGTCACAGCGGCCATCTCCTGCTTCCCAAACGCATCCACGACTCTCCCGCCGTCGACCTGCACTGCAGCCCATCTTTGCTCCCTATTCGGCCTCTTCCCCATCCTCCCCGTCCACAGGCCCATCTCATCCAACAGCACTTCCACCACGGTAACAAACCTTGCCTCCAGCGCAGTACTCCCCAGTGCGACCTCTGCATCTTCCGCCGTCCTGGGGATCCGAGAAGCCAGGAGATGCAGGTCGAGCAACTGCGTAAACACCAGCCCGAACGAAGGCTTGTTGCGCCTCGATGAGGTAGGCACGTAGCCGGGGATAGGGAGCGGCGGGGGGTTGAATATCGACCGCAGCGAGGGATCAAGCGGCCTGCCGCTGCCGGCAGCCGCAGAAGGGTGCCTGCCTGGTTCCGGCCCATGAGGGTCGGTAGACGAGGTGGTCGAGTTGAGGATGAGGACGAGCGGGTTCGAGGGCAAACTGCGCGAGAGGTGGCGCAGGCGCGAGGCGAGCAGGGACAAGTTCGCGTGGGCGGCCGGCCTCTCGCGCCGGGCAAAGAGCGACGTGAGCAGGCTCGAGAAGTGCGTGACGAGGATGACGGAAGGGGGCGGCGACTCCGCGGCCGGCGGCGGCGAGGGCCCCTCGTCCTCCTCCTCGCTGTCTTGAATCTCGGAAGCGGGCGACGGCGGTACACGGTCCCCCGGGGGAGGAGGAGAAGCCCGGCCCCTCCTGTCCAGCTCGGCCAGGACCTCCCACAGGCCGTCCATGTCGAACACGCACGAGAGCATGACGCAGTCCAGGCTCGCCCTCACGCGCGGCTCGACGTCCCCCGGGGCCACGCCCTCGTGGGCCAGCTCGGCCGCGACGCCGTCCCTCAGCGACCGCAGAATGACGCCCGCCGGCTTGGGCGTGATGACCAGCGCCCGCTGCTGGCGGGGCTCGAGCAGCGCCCTGGAAAGGACCTGCAGGCCGAGCTACATTTCTGGCCCTGTCAGCAACGGCGAGAGACAACGAGACGGGGGCGAATAAGGCGCAGGCGGGAAACATACGGCTATCCCAAAGGACTCTTCTTCTGCGCTCAAGCCCACGACGTGTCCCCTCTCTAGACCACCTAGCAGGACGTAGTCGTCTATTTCGGAACACGCTGTTTTGAAATACCCCAGTTGGCGGAGATGGTTCCTGCGCTCTGTTTCTCGTTCGGCGAGGATAGACGCCGTCACGGGAGCCAAGGGGAAGGGCTTGGGTTGTGGCCTGTCCATGCTGGGCGAGTGACGTGCTACCGTTTTGCCGTCATTGAATCTACATGCGTGGACATGATATTACACGTACTGGGTGGACTGGATGAATGTAGAGCGCGGATTGGGTCACACGGTCGATAAAAGTCGATAGTTGATGTCGAGGCCAAGTTCATGTGGCAGGTGGTGGAGCTTGTGTTCGACATGCTGCATGACGGATCCAGCCAATGGGAGACGTTGACAATACCAAGACGGGAAGATGACAACGTCATGTCTTGGTACTTAGTTATATGAAGGCTAACTGCAAGGGTTGCGAGGAAGAGAAGGGCAACTTCGTTGTATTTTTTTTTGCTCGGAGTTTGAGACCCGACGAGCATTGTACATCGTATTGAAATTGTCGCTACCAAAAGGTGATGCCGTTCGTCGCTCTTCATTTTTCTCGAGCGGGCATGTCCGTGTGCCTTTCACAGCCAATGTCTTATCGAAATTCTCGTACCTGCACGGCGTGCTTCGTCATCAGAGTATATTTCAATTGGTCATTTGGTTAGGTCCAAATGTTGTTTTGGAACAAACTCCGAGGCTAGCTGAACGTGCCATCAAGGCGCCATGTCTCACGATACTTCATTCGAGTGACTATGAGCAAGGATCGAGGCGAGTATTCACCTTGCACAGTAGCAACAGCCCAAAATGTGTCTGACGATGCACTTTCAGCATAATTTAAAATAAACGTCTACTCATAGCAATCTGCCAAGTATTTCGCACATGGAAGTGCCCTCTCCTCCAATCTCAAAGAAAGCCCAACAAGATAAGAAACTGATCCCGACGGTGCATACAAATCTATCGAAGGCCGACAGATGACCACGAGTTGCTACTGACGCTTTGTAGACGTCTCAATTTAGGTCCAGGTACGCCAGTCTTCTATCGTCTTCCCAAACTCCCTACCACGCCTTTACACAATGAATATCACCGATGCCAAGTAATTATCTCGGCTGAGTATCGTAGCAGGCTGCGTAACCCGCACATGGTTGCCGGTAATTGCGGCCAAGTGCGCACAGGCGTTTTGAGCTGGAGCTTCAGGCGTCGCAAGAAACCACATTTCTCTTCTCCCAGACCACTGACAGAAGAGGTGTGAACCATTGTCACTTGCAGCTCCTCCAACTGCTGTCACGGCGGACAGTACCGCACAGATCGCGTCACAGCGTCAGTGCTGCGATGATGCCTACTTTTCCCACCATTTCCCTGCAACTGTTTAGATTGCCATTCCAGACCCTGCGAGTTGAGTGCTGGTGTCCGTATTATTCTTAGGCCTTCGTCCACCCTTCAAACTCTTCATTCGACCTATAATACCAGTTGGTTTGGCAGGAGGGCTGTCCTCCCCTGGCATCATCGCGTCTGCAGTGGCTCGTCGTTCCAGAGCTGATCCAGATAACCTCCGGGGGATCGCTGGTGGGCTGGCTGGGGACTTTGCTCCGCCCCGAGGCCTGACACTGATGCTCTCCTCGCCTTTGCCAAACTCAGCGAAGAAAGGGTTAGGTTCGGAGCCTACACTAGAGGCAAACGCCGTGCCATCCGGGGATCGCTTGGTGGATACTGCATCGGGATTTGTCATTCTGCCAGATGAAAAATCTCGGGGTTTGTTGTTGATGTGCCGAATTCGCTGTGCTAGCGACTTCTTTCGTTGCAAACCGTTGTCGACAATCTCTTGCTGCTGTTCTGCTTGTCTTCGGACGATTGCGCTTCGTGCAGCAGGTGTGCCCTCGAGGAAGGTAGAGGTACCTAAGCCGTAGCTTTCATCTCCATGGACCAGGGATCCACGAGCGATGGGATCAAAAATCGCTGGCTCTGCACTTGAGCCACCTGGGTAGTTGTATCCATTCTTGTTCTTCGTGCCGCCAGAGTAATCGCGGAATGCTTCATCTGTGCCGTGACCCAAGAAAGTGGCATGATCCGGGTTCCGATTAAGAGGCCCGGCACCACCCAGTGAATTGTTGAGAGAGTCCTTGGGAAAGGCTTGCATTGGAGCGCGCCTGCTGCTGTGCTTATTTCGATGCGGGTTCAAGGCATCGAATGGGCCATCATGATGGAAAACTAACAGACAACGTTTGATCAGATGGGGAAATATGCAAGTAATGATCAATACAACTTACGGCCAGTACCATATATGCTGGTTGCATCCAGCTGGTCGATTATATCCATTCGTCGGCTTGGGCGACCAGACTTGCTCCGTCCTTTACCCTCTCGCTCCTTGTCACGAGGCTCACGGCCCTCCAGACTTTCCTTATCCCGGCTCCCTTTTTCACGAGCGGCCTTTTCACGGCGTTGTCGGTCTCGCATGCGGTGCTCCTCAATTATTTTCATTTCTTCGGCTGTAATGGGCTGAGCATTGAAGTCCATAACGGATGAGTCTGAATTTCGTCGCGGACGTCGGACCGGTTTCCTCTGAGGAGACCTTGATGTTGCGGGGTTGGGGGCTGGACCTGGACCTGGTTTCCTTGCCCGCATGGCTTCTTCTTGTGACTTGGCAAGTCGGTGCTTGTCGCCAGGCTGTTGAGATTCCCCGGGACGAGCAGCGGGAACCTGGTCTGATGGGCGTCGCTGGGCAATCAACGGCGGAGGCAACTTATCGTTTTGCATTGTGTCGTCGAGCGTCAGTGAATCCTGGAAACATTTGTTAGCCAATAGGTCGATCCAGCCCTGGTCACTCGGTCGGTCTCGTGCGGATTGGTGTGATGGCCGTTGCCGTGCTGGCGACGGCGGCTTTGTGCATGGTCACGCAAACATACAAATATATCTTCAGCGGAGAGCGATTTGTGCTCAGACTTGTTGGAAATACCACCCGGCGACCTCAACGGTTGCTGGGATTGGTCAAGGAAAGGATTTCGCGATACAGGTCTCTGGATAGGCGTAGGGTCGTCAAAGGGCGAGTTGGTCGACGTTGCAAAGGCAGCATCAAGGCTGGCAGGCGACGCTGCCCGGTTGCGAAAAGGGTTGTTGGAGGACAGGTTGATTGACAGTCCTGGAGAGGGGAGTTGCCCTATGCAAGAGATATAAAGAGTTAGTTTTGGAATCTGATTCATGCATGTGCGAACCGACGAAACAAGATGAAACGCGACAATCTCCTCCACCTGCCACAACAGCAGCCAAATCAAGGGGATCGGCAGACAATGCGCGCACCGAACTCGAGGAGACATGCCGGCGGCGGGCATTGCACAACGGTCAATGACGACGAATGCTCCATGCCCTTGCCAAGGAGGGAGAGGGGTCATGGGCAGACACGAGCACATGCGTCGCCCACGAGCGTCCATGAGCACAGCTTACCTTGCTGGAAAGGGCTTGGGCTAGACATTTTGACTGGCTGGCAAGGAATAATGCAGCCCCGGAGAGTGTGGTCCGTAATCGATTAAAAACAAAGGATACAAATTAGAAACCTGTCAGTCAAAGAAAGGCCTCTTGTGGGTGGTCAAATTCCTCGGGCCTTGGTGCACAGGCCGGATATCATGCCAATAGGAAAGGCGCGATGGTAGTTTCCCCGTTGCGGTGAAACGGGCAGAAGGGCGGCTACAGCCAGTAGATGGCGGGGCGTCTTTAAGATCCAGGGGTTTGTCGTTTGAGAAGGGGCGAAGCAGTGCGTCAATCGCCCAAAACCGATGCCGACAAGATATGCGTTTCGCAAGCCCTTGGCAACAGCGGGCCGTAAAGGGGGCGCGAGGATGGATGGAAACCGTTTGTTAGGAGTAGGGACCAGAGATACGCAAGGTGCCGCGTGACGCAGCTGATCAGGTTGGATATTGGTACGACCTCGGTCTGCACTGGGCCGAACGTCCCTTCCTGTCGGTCGGAAAGCACCAGTTGACCAGCACAAGACGGAACAAGGCAGAGTTCGTCATGCAGTCGATTGAATCGCCGTCAAGCGGATTCGAAGTGTGCAAGTGAAGCCTGAGGGCCGAATCTGAGGGGCCGTGCAACAATGGTGAGGAATGGGAGCCGCGCGGTTTGAAGACGAGAGCAGGCGAGGCTCAGGGTCTATCTAAATGGGCTTGCTGGGATATCGACGCGTCGTCGTGGCCAAGGCTCTGAGAGCAGAACTCAATGGGGGCGTAGTTCCGCTCTGCGCACAGAAATGGCGGCGTGAAAATTGGGGATCCGGATGGGCTCTGGGCCCGAGTCCTGAAGTTGAGATGCACGGTGGGGGGGCCTAGTGGTGCCAAAGACCAGGGATCGTGGCAAATGGTTGCTTTTTGGGCGATCGAGCAGCTGAGAGATTCGCAGGCACGATTTTGAACTGGCTTGAGGCTGGCTCGGGGCTGGCTGCAAGTGGTCGGCGCCACGGGGAGAGAGGGTGTTGTCGAGCTGTCAAGTCGACTTTTGGGATCCTGCCGTTGCCTCTGTATCGTATTCCTCGATTAAAGTTGGACAAGAAAGTAAAAAGTGGCTCACCGTCGTGGCCAATCTAGACTTCAACCTCGTCGCTTGCTCCGTCACTGTGCCAGCGGTAGCCGGCGGTACCAACGCAGAACGAGATTCGCTTGGCCGCTTTGTTTCTCTTGCCTCTGGCCTTGTTTAGCCAAGATCTGACACGGCTGGGCAAACACTGGTATGCAACAGGCCGGCTCGATCACAGGCAACAGCTCTTCCACCTGGTGATGATGATGGTGTCTCGGGCGCTTTAATGTTGTCAGGTACAGAAGACCCCCGAAATCGAGAGATCAATAGTTTCTGAATTCCTCGACGATTGCCGGGTCAGATCAGACACTGCCTGTCTTGTATTGCCAAATCGTAGTGGCGGGCGATGTATTCCAAGGTGGTGAGCATAACACTTTTTTCTCCTGGATAGATGCTGTGCAAATGCAAGAGGACGTCGAATTGAGACGAGGCTTTATTGAACGTCTACGTGCTGGTGTTTTCTACAATATTTGCAAGCACAACTATACACATATATGCACATTTTGCACAGTCACGGTCCAAATGTCCCAGTCTGTCTCTAGCACTGAGCATTCGGCACGTGAGTACGGAGTACCATGATCGTTTACGTATAGTTGGTGTCTGCCTAACAAAAACAGCAGGAGCTTTGAAGCCCAACTTGCAAAATGTGACTTTCAAATGTCGCTTCAGCCCACTCAACCACTTCACGAAGGCGCATGGAACAGCAAATTAAGTAGGTAGTCTCCATGGTTCGAGAAACGACCCCAGTGCTCGACTCCACAAGCTATCGATTACCAGGTACTGTCCTTCGAAAAGCACGATGGGGTAGATACTTGGCTGCTACTGACCTAGGCTGGCAGGTGCTTGGCTGACACAATACTGTGTATGTACGGAGTCCTTCCTGGTATTGCTATTTATTATTCCCACCTTTGCCCCGGGCAATCATTCTCTTTGGTCCACCAACAGATTTGATGGCAGAAGCTGATAGATGAACAGTATTGCTCCGTACATACATCAGTAGATGAGCTCGAGCGACGACATCAACGCTACCTGGTTAGCGCCGACATGGATACTGGTCACATCACACCCAGGTCCATGTACGGTGGCAGCTGTCCCAGGGCTCTTTACCCCAAATGGCTGGAAGAGGTTATCGCTTTCACCAAAGTGTCGTTGATTTTGGCTATTGGACGCCGAGCAGAATCCAATTTGTGCGCTGGTCAAAACCTCGTCATTATCTCCTCATGGGCAGAATACATATGGCCTCGCTGTTGCCAGCAAGAGTAGAACTACGCTCAAGGAGGGAGACTTATCCGTCTAAACCATTAAAGCATTCGGCGTTGTGCAGACATGCCCTGGATCCGTCCATACTCAGCATTGGAATGTTCAAACCTCCTTTTCGCAGCGATTTATGGGTCGTGCAAATAGGACAACCCCTTTTTTGGCCTTCCACAGCGCCGAAAGGCGCAAATAGCCATGCAATCTACGGGATTTATGCCCTGGTTGTTACACTGTGTGAGATCTGCGTTGGGCATGGCCATGCACCCCGCCGTACAATACCACCTTGCCCACCTTCTCGTGGGCCTCGTCAACTCATCAACTCGTTAAATCGTGGGCATAGTAGTAGTATTATTAAAAGTACAAATATTGGACGGGGGTAATTAATTCCCTTGCCCAGCGCTACCCAACATGACCCGCAGCCCCTGAGCCGAACGACAATGACGTTGGCCGCATTCCAACAAGCTCACGGCCGAATCACCACTCTTCCTTCTTTTTGCGGACTGCTGGCCGAGAGAGGAGCCCGAAACCACAAATGGCCGCGTCACGAAATGTGTTCTTGTTATACGGAATAGCCTCGAAAGCGTTATGCCTCTATGATAAATCATTTTTCTGCTCTCTCTGGTCGAAATGGCATCGCCAATTTAGTTGAAATTGGGAGCACAATCGCTCTGGCCCCCCCCGCCTGCATGCCTCCGGTCACTTCTCGTATCGAAGCCTGGGTGCAAGGCTCTGCCGCAAATGAAAGAGGGCCATAAATGACGACCGCAATATGAAACTGTGGACGTGCAGACATCCAACAGCGTCTCCCGTAAGGAGTCGTTTGCTCGTCTTGGGCCGACTTCAGATCTTAGACGCGCTTTGCACGAATGCTTGTTCCAAGAGACAATTCTTCTCAAAGCTCAAGTGTGCTCGCTCCAACCACGTTCCGGAGTCACAATAACGTACTACAAGGCAAGGTCCCTCGACACTAAGCTCTACAGATCCTCTTATATTAAGTGGAAGACGGACAAAACGAATCTGGCTGGCTGGGGTACACCGCTGTAATATCTTACACGCAATCGAAACTCAGATGCGATACCCCAATATATCTCGCCAGAGACTCTTCGCCCGACTTGCGCTGTACTACTCATGCACACCCACGGAGAGATGATTTGTCTTCAGGTACTCCATACAATTTGGCAACCCGATAGCGCCTTTGCATTTCACCTTGTGACAAGACACGACAAGTGCGTGGTTACCGTGGTAGATCTTAATTAAGTGGTAGTACTTGCTCCCTGGCTTGGATTATCACCTCGGTATTTTACTGAGTTGGTTTAGTAATTGCGCCACTGAAGAAAGCTGTCAACCTGACAGTGAAATACGCACTCCGTACAGTCTCCACCCTTGCGTCGATTACTATCCAGGGCATGGTCAGAAGCAGGGGCTCATGCTTGTGACATGTGGCTCTGAGTGAATTAATACCTGCACTACTAGTATCAAGTCGAAGTCTTCCGGTACACAAACAAATCTCAACGAAACAGTACATAATTAGTCGATGGCAACGGGGCTTGCAGCGTGGTGGCCGAGATGCCCAATCACCAATAGAGAGTCGAGCAAGAGAAGCGTCATATTCAGCTCAAGCCTCGTCACCACGGCAGATGTAGGGGAGTTTCCAGATTCTTCCCCATAGTTTCTTCAGCTGTACCAATATCGCCTGACAACGCACGCATATCAGCAGGAGAAAACATCCCCCGGAGGAGGGTTCAAAAAGCAGTTCACTGACCTGGCCCTCTGGGCGCCCAGTACTCCCCAGTTTTGGAAATATCTACATGATCAGTCCACTGGATAAGGGTCGAGGCGGCTTCGTCGGATGTGACAGCTGCAATGAAGTCGTCAGATCTGATTCATGGGCTGTGAGGATGGGAGCAGATGTCAACATGTATGAACTCACCGCCTCCAGCGTCCCAGTATTTGTCATAGCCGACTCCTTTCGTCATGTCGGTGCGCATAAATCCAGGATGGACAATACTGATTATCACGCCTTTCTCCTTCAAGTCCAAACTAAGTAGCTTGCCAACCATGTTGAGCGCCGACTTGCTAGCATGATGAGCATAGTTGCCACCGCCCTCCTTCTCGTGGCGGAGCCCTATGCTCCCAGCCTCGGAAGACACCAAGATAACTTTGGACCCTTGGTGCAGCAGCCCAGCGTGAACAAGCCGGTGGACAATAAAGACTGGTGCAACGGAACTAGTCGTGTACATTTGGAGCTCTTCATGCCAATTTGGGCCCTTTTCAGCGCTGATGTCCTCTGTGGAGAAGTGGCCAGCGGTGATTATCTGTGGTGGTTGGACGTTAATAGCTCAAGCGACATGTTTGTCTCGTATCGTCTCCAAGGATACTCACAAGTGTTGACAAGGGCTTGGCGTCGCCGAGAAGCTTGACAATGTCGTCTCCAACAGAACTCTTGGTCAAGTCGACGCCGTTGAGCCACTTGACGTGTTCCGGAAACCCAGAGGGGATCGCGTTAGACCGAGCAGTTCCATACACGACGTTGGCGGCAGTCGCCGCATACTGCTTAACCAGACTGGCACCCAGACCTCTGGTGGCCCCGACAACCAGAATCGTTGACATTTCGATCGGGCTGGGGAATGCGTGGTGTGAATAATAGTGATTCGTTTGGAGGTTTATTGGAATCAAATGCGTCACGGAAATCTGGAAAGAGTACCAGACGTTGAGCGTGTGTGGATATACTGGTCGACATCATGGTGACATAATAGCGCCAAGCCCAAGACGTTGACGAGTGCAAGATGGATGCCCCGCCGGACCACACTCGACCTCATCAATTGATTAATGCAAATTATGTCAAGTACAGCATTCTCTCTATACAGGTTAACACATCCCGCATTGATTATTCCTAGACTCGTACACAACTCTTTCAACTCGAACGCATTGGTGTGTGCGCTACGGCAACCGAGCTTCCGTATACCAATACCAATGGCTTAGCTAGCTTGTGTCACGCCATGGCTGACTGAGTTCCAATCCGGCATGTCCACCGGTTGGCCACGGGAACATGGAAAAGTTGCCTATTCGACATGTGCATATCATTCATGCAAAATCATGGGTCATGCTCCTTGTAAATAAAAGGGAATCGATCAATTGCGCTGCTTGAAACTAGGGTGAGGTGACACAGCAGACGGGAGGGGAGAGGGCCGGTTTTTAATCTTCTCCATTTGTCAACACAAACGCCAACGTTGCCAAGCCGGGATTCATCTCCTATTTGTGCCGGGCGGGTGATGGGGAGCTACGCAGCTGCGTCTTTTCAGAGTTGGTGCCGCTGTCACCAATGATGCCAATTGTTTTGACTTTGGCCAACGCAACAAGTGAAGTACGACGTGGGAATCAGGCGTTGAGAGCAGCCACGGTCCAAGCTGTTCTGCGGCATGAAACACTTTGGCCCAAAAGAATGGGTTCCCATTTTCAAATGAGCAAAACTGCACTGGTGTCGTGAGGATATACAAGAGAGTAAGCGAACGTTCCTCTTTCAACACTACGGATCATATATATATATATATATATACGGCCCGTGAAAAATCTCGGGTCGAGAGCCACTCACTCACGTCTATCAGACCCTTCCCTCTCAGTTTCTCTTCACACTCAATGAGACTCTTTGACCCGAGCCGTTATCCAAATAATTACATAGTCCACACATTACATTTCTACGGAAATCTGCCCATCGTGGCTGTTCTCTCCCTCCCAACAATAGTTGTCGTCAACCATGCCGCAGCAAAACAAGATACAAAAAAACTCATCACCACTTTATTTCTCACGCCTCTCAAGCCACAACCTTCAAAAAGCTAACCCAACACAGATTCAAACCATCTGAATTCCCCGCCCCCACACCTCATTCTCCCCCCACGACCGACCCTTTCAACCCCTTCTCCCCGTACATCCTCCTCTACATCCTCGCCGTCATGTCTCGGTGTGACCAAACATGCCTGGCGTCATGTACAGCGGCGGGGCGCAGCCTCATGTAAAGGAAAAAACAACTCATGTTGTGCTTCGTCGTGCCTGTACACGCCGAGGACTCTTTGCTCGCCACGTCTCATGACTATCCAGCCCGACTACATAGAGGCCCTCACGAAACCAAAGCACACCCAGCTTCAACATACAAATACCATCCATTGAACATTGCCCCCCACGCGGCATCAACCTCCTCCCAAACCACCAAAAACGTCCCCAAAACCCACAAGCAAATAAAAGCCATGGCAAAAGTCCCCAACGGCACCGGCGGCAGAAGCCACACGCAGCTCGAGCACGAGCTCGCCTCCCGCGGCGCCGCGCTGTCCAACAACACCATCCCCCCATCCGAGTTCCTGGTGCGGTGCGCGCCGTCGGCCGGCCTCATCGTCTCGTGCGGGTGCGTCATCGTCGACCCGGCCGCGCGCAAGGTCGCCATCGTCCACGACCCGGACACGGGCATCACGCAGCTGCCCAAGGGCCGCAAGAACATCGGCGAGGACATCCACGCCGCCGCCCTCCGCGAGGCCCACGAGGAGACGGGCATCCCCGTCGCGCCGCTGGCCCTCAGGGTCGCCACCAGGGCCACCCCGACAGAGGACATGCTGCCCCTCGTCGCCAGGACCCCGGACGGCTTCCCAGAGGACGTCACCACCGCCGTGCGCAGCTGCGAGCCCGTCGCCGTCTGCCACCACAGGTGCCCGGGCACCTTGGCCTACAAGCTTGTCTTTTGGTACGTCGCGCGCGGGGACTCGAGCCTGCGGCCCGTCGACGGCACCAAGGAGGCCTGGGAGGAGCACTACCAGGTCGAGTGGGTGGGTGCCAGGGCCGCCGCGGGGAGGATGAGCGTCGCCGCCGACGGCGAGGTGATACAAAAGGCCATCGAGGACATGGTGGCTTCCGGCTATGATATCTAAGTAACGGGCTTACCTGGGCGCGGACAGCATTTGTAGAGTGGGTTCAGGATAAAGCGATACATGGACGGCATCAGCGTATGTAGAAACTAGACATGATGCAACATGTTACACCAATGGTGGGGGCAAGGCACGTGGTGCTGGGTTGAAAACATGCTTCGTGCTAGACGGGATCAAGATGCGTGAAATAGGCTGCGATTCGATACATCATGGCCCTTGTCGCTATCCAACTCGATATGCCCAGCTGGTTTAGCAAGACAGTCACAATCGCCACCAGAAGTTCCCATAATCGACCATCAACTTCATGTCTGTTCGTTTCACACCCATAAGATCCCCCCCTGCGCCATGATGCTCCCCATCCTTATGATCCAGAATACAAAAAGTTCAATAATAGTCCCATTACAGCAACAACACATGCCGTCTCCTCTTCTCGTAAACGATGCTCATGAGAAAAGGGGAGAGAAAAAACATTCAAATGATTCCAACTACCCCTCAAATTCAACTACTCCGGTTCCTGGAGCCGCAACCGTCTCCACTCTCGGTCGTCCCTCTCCGGAGTTGACATCTATTAGGTCCTGGTCCTGCTCTTTCGATGATGCTCCTGCCCCTGCGTCTAATCCGTCTAGTAAATCGCGATCAGAGCTCTTGACGGACCGGTTGTCCCCGCTGGGACCGCCTGGTCCTTTCCGAGCCCCGACCGCGATGCCAATATCATCGTCGTCCTCCTCATCATCCTCAGGTCGCTGCCCCGGCAGCGCATTCTTCTCAAGTTCCTTCTGCGCCTCCTCCATGCGCCGGCGTACTTCGGTTGCCACCCGCATCCCGTCCGTTACAATGTTGTCCAGCACGCCTCGCAAGCCACGTCCTGCTCCGTGCGGTCCAGGCTGAACGGGAAGGGGAGGCTTAGAACCAAAGCCAAGGCTGGCAAAGGTTGTCAATGACGAGCTTTGTGGTGTCACTGCTGCGCTCTGGAGGCCCTCAATGATATGGAATGAGAAGGGGAATGAAGACTCAAAAAATTGCTCCAGGAGCTCGTCAGCGAGAACAACCATTCTAAATGTCGGTAGCGTCATATGCAGGGGCTGCGCTGGGTTCAGTGCGGCGTTGGCAGCTTCCGACTTGGCCTTGGAGACCTTGCGCCGCGACTCGTCGTTGGTGTCATCCGCTGGCACTTCCCCGTCGAGTAGCATTTCGTTCGTCTTCTTTGCTTCCTTTGGCGACCCTGATGGAGACTCCAGCTCCAGAAGATCCTCTTCGTCCTCATCATCCCCTATGGCAAACGAATTCTGGTCTGCCTCGGCGTCTTGTGGCGTGTTGCTTGTATTCTGGTTCTGGGGGTGATCCGGATCGGCGTACTCAAAGCAGCGGCGGATGAAGGCGCTCACACTTCCGAGGAACCGTTCGTTGACAGGTATACCCGCTGGTAAGCTTGCCTGAGACTCATTTGCGCTACCAGTTTCACCGTTAAGCGCAAGGCTTGAGGCATTGGGACTGAGTGTTCCCTCGAGCCCACGTCGTGATAGGAACAGCAATGCCTCGGAAATTCGTAATATCCCTTCACGGTCAACCTTGCCATCACCATCATCATCGTATAGCTCGAAGAAATAAGTGATAGTGCCCATAATATCTCTCTTGCCCTTGATACCAGCCAATCCTGTGACAACATTTTGCAGCGTCAGAGCTGCGTTTCCATCTACATCCCACTTCTTGTACAGGCGCCGCAGAAACTCATGCTCTGCAGGCTCCGGGCCAGCACCCCAAGGGGATGTGAGATCTGGAGATTTCCGAGCAGTATTGAACTTGGGAGATTTATCGCCTCCAGTCATGGTGTCCCTTCTTGAGTTTCCAGGGGAATCAGACAATGCCCATTTACACATGCTGGCAAGGAATTCTCTGAATGCGTCATAATCCATCAGATTTGTGCTTGGCCCTAGCCCTACGCGGCCCTTTTCCACCTGGTTAGGCGCAGAGGAAAAGATTTCAGAAGCTCGCATTCTACTTGTCTTGGCCCGGCGCTTTTGCTCCTCCTGAATCATAAGGTCTCGCTGTTGCCGCTCGTATAATACACTGTAAAACCTGTCGTACAAGGCACCGAGCTCCTCTGTGTTGAGCAGCTTGCTATCGGGTCCCAAGTTTCGAATTGCCGTTCTCTTGGCAAAATTTTCAATGTTATTCAGGACCGCATCCTTCTTCTTTAGTCGCAACTCGGTGATGCTGCTGTGAGTGATGCCAGAGAACTCCTTGAAAGCAACTACCATGAGCTCTTGAAAACGGGTGACGGCTCGAAGCTTGGGGTTCTCGGACTTGGGGTGAGCCGACTCATCCAGCCTGGAGAAATACGCCTTGAGGACGGATATGAAGGCGCCGTCGTCAGCGGCATCCAGCAACTCTTCACCATTTATTCGCAGGATTGCTAGGCCGACCTGGAACAGCACCTTTGGCCCTTCCACAAAGAAGACATCCAGTACGCGGAAAGCGAATATTAAGGGCATTGAGTTGATGTACAAGGACAAGAACCAGGGCAGCGAGACAACTGATAACTGAACATCGCTCTTGACTAAATGTTCCCAGAGAATCGGCATCGTCCTTTCCACCAACGACTCGAACACCTTTTGGTCCAGCAGGGTGCCGTACATGGTTGTGGAGTAATAGCCGGGAACAAGACGATCGCAAAGAGATGAGAGTAGGAAGAAAGCCTGA